AAAAAAAGAGATTTTCAAATCATTATAGAATTCTTGAGAAAAATCAAAAATAAACTTTAAGAATTCGAATATATTTTCTTTTTTTGAAAAAAAAAACATTATTCTACAATCAACTAATTCTACCCAAATGGGACTGATTATGTTTATATATGAATCATATACACATTCATTCATTCATACAAACATGCCATATGAATCCAAACCGAATGAAGAAAAAAAAAAGATACCCAATATTTTGTTGTTGTTGTTGTTGAACGCATACATTTTGAATATGAAGCCAAAAAAAAAAACAAGGTGCTCTCTTTGTCCGACGATTATCTTCTAAAAATGAAATAAAAAAAAGTATTATTCACATGTAGTAGTGGTTATAATGAGTGATGAATGGAATACCCGATTTTTTTTTCGTTAAAAAAAAAATTTTGAAAATTTCGTTCATAAATGCTTCTTCTGTTATCTGAAAATTATATAAACTTTTCATTACTATTACCACTACTACTGCTGACGATGATGATGATGATGTTGGTCGTCATTGTGGAATTTTTCTTCAAATCTTTTTCTTTTCTTTTCTTTTTTTACTTCAAAATCTAATCTGATTCCTTTTTATTTATTTTTTTTTCTCATCTGATCCACACCTGAACATTTTTGTTGTTGTTGTTGTTGAATATAATTTTGATTAGATAATTGAATGGTGCTCTTCGATCTTTCGATAATAATTGTCGTCATCATTTTGAAAAGTGAAACAAACAAACAAAAATCCAAAAATACCCGACGATTTATTTTGAAACACACAATCATCATAACTTCGACAAGTTATCGTTTAGAATCAGATGATATTCTGTACAAATAAATTCTATAGTGATAAATAATATTGTAATATTCTTATTCTTGTTAGCGTTTTTTCTTTTGGAAGAAAGATTTCATCCTATCTAAACGACAATAAACAAACAACAATTTTTGCATTAATCATGGCCAAATAATGATAATATCTTAAAGAAAATCATCAACAACAGCAAACGTAAACAACAAAAATTGAAATCCATAACGAACAATCATTATTTTCACCTTGATTTTGTTTTATCAAGAATAATATATTGTGACCGAAAAGAAAAGTGAACAAGCAAAATCTTTGATTGATTGATTGATTGATTGATTGATGACATTCGAAAAAAACATAATTAAATCAATCGAACTGATATTACCATCGATTGAATATTTACCACTACGACTAAAATCACATCAATATTTGTTTGAGAGAGAGAGAGATAGTCGAAAACAAACAGAAAACAAAAACAAAACGAACGAAACAAAAGAGTTTTGAATTTATAATCAAAAATCAATTGATAAATGTATTTCAATAACAGCGACAACAAATAACAGACATACATCATACACACACATTGTATTTTAAATTTTTGTATTTGTAAACACACGTGTCACGTTTTTTTTTTGTTCTCTTCTAAAATATTCACCACCAAAAATATTATGATAAACAAACAAAAAAAATTTTGATATCTTAAACTAAAGATAAAGAAACTTTACAGAAACAACAACAAAAACAGAAAAATTTGTTGTTGATGATAATGAAAATTTTTTTATTATCATCATCATTAGAATTCGAATCGTAATTTTGTAATTTCTGCTGCTGTTTTTGTTGTTGTTCTGATTCTATAATCTTATCATCTTATTCGACTAACCAAACAAACAAAACACAAAAGAAGAAGAAGCCAAAACAATATTTTGTTTTTTTCCCAAAAAAAAACAAATCTTGAAAAACAAGTGTTGAAAAATTAATTAGATTTACACTGAAACAAAATCGACAACAAACAATTAATAAAAGTCAGATTAAACAAACCAAAAGAAACAAACATTAATTTGATTTTGATTTTTTTTTCTCCGCTTCAAATTGTGTGACACACACACACATGTTAATAATATTTCTTTTTTGATTTGTTTTGTTTTTCATTTTTGTTTTTCTGATCATCACAACATCCAAACATATTACAATTAATCACATTCCAACCCTTAATTGTGTACCCCATATATTTTCGTGTGATAAATATTTTTTTTTCTTCATTTCTGTTTCTTTTTTTGTTACGAATTTTCTTTTTTTTTTGGTGTTACTCGGCTATTTACATTACGTAATCAATCAATCAATCCGGAACAACTGCAAAAGAAAATTGTATCGACAAATCTCTCCGGTCAAAAAATTGCTGGACAAACAAAATCACGAAATGAGTTCAATATTTGAAGAAGTTTACCTTTATGATTATGATGATGAAAAATTATCATTCTATAAACGTTATCATAAACCATTCAATATAGAAGTAATTGATGAATCTGATAAGCTATTGATTCGTTCACGTTCAAAAATTAATAATGATAATGTAAGTTTGATTATTATTATGATCTTTGGTTTTTTATTATTTATAATTTTTATCTTTTTTTAATTGTAGTATAATAATAATAATACATCATTGAACAATACCAATAATAATAATAATAATAGTAATAATAATAATAATTCAACAACATCGATACAATTTCAAACTGAAATTTATAAAGATACACCATGTTCAGAATTTAGTAAAAATGGTTTTGTCATAACGGATGAAAATGGTAAATCTATTTATTTAATGTTCGGAAAGAAATATATCTACGATAATGAAAAGGCCAATTATAAGGAAACGGATTTTTGTCGTTTTACTAAATTAGTCAATGATTTTAAATTAGGCCGAAGAGAATCGGTTTTTACTTTACGTACGGATGAAGCATCAGCAACACAGTATTTTCAATTCTATGGCTATCTATCACAACAACAAAATATGATGCAAGATTATATTCGAACATCCACTTATCAACGAGCCATATTATCTAATTTGGATGATTTTCATAATAAAGTTATTCTTGATGTTGGTGCCGGTTCGGGAATTCTTTCATTTTTTGCCGTACAAGCTGGTGCAAGAAAAGTATATGCAGTTGAGGCTAGTTCAATGGCCAAACATGCTGAACAACTCGTTGCTTCAAATAAATTGGCCGATAGGATTATTGTTATACCTGGAAAAATAGAGGAAATTTCTTTACCTGAACAAGTGGATGTAATCATTTCCGAACCTATGGGCTATATGTTATTCAATGAACGTATGTTGGAAACATATTTACATGCTAAAAAATGGCTCAAACCTGGTGGTAATATGTTTCCAACAAGAGGAGATTTACATGTTGCACCATTCAGTGATGCTCAACTGTATACTGAACAAGTAATGAAACAAATTTACGATGATAATATTAAAAATTGATTAATTTTTTTATTTATTTAGTTGACGAAAGCTAATTTCTGGTTTCAACAAAATTTTCATGGCGTTGATCTCACAGCATTAAGAAGTGCTGCATTGAAAGAATATTTTTATCAGCCAGTAGTCGATACATTCGATATACGAATTTGTGTAGCTAAATCAAATAAATATAGTGTAGATTTTCTTAAAGCTCATGAAAAAGATTTACATGTGATCGATATACCACTCAAATTTCATATCAATCAAACTGATGAAATACATGGTCTAGCATTTTGGTTTGATGTAGCATTCTTTGGCTCACAACAAGCCGTTTGGCTTTCAACTGCTCCCACACAACCATTGACACATTGGTATCAAGTATGTTTTTTGTTTTCATAAATTTAATCATTGAACAGTTTTCTAATGATTTTTTTATCTTAATTATGAATTAGGTTCGATGTCTTCTTGATAAACCATTATTCGTACAACGAGGCTATACAGTTAGTGGTAGAGTTTTATTAGTATCGAATAGTCGACAAAGTTATAATGTACAAATAGAATTAAAAGTAGATGAAATACCTGGATCACATTCTTCCAATTCTTTGGATTTAAAAAATCCATATTTTCGTTATACTGGACAACCAGTACAACAACCGCCTGGATGTAATCAAACATCACCAAGTGAAGATTATTGGCAACAGATTGATGCTGCTCAACAACAACATATGAATGGTGGTAGTTTGATCAATGGTGTTTGTTCGCAACAATCGAATCAAATGAATACTAATGGTGCAATGGCTCATTCATTACAATCACAGCATCAGCAACAACAACAGACTGGAATGGGACATTCTGTTCATATTCAACAACAACAACCATCACAATTAGCTGATCAATTTGCAGCAAATCAAAATAATCTTAATAATTCATCACGTATGTTTGGTGGTTCAACCGGAATGGGAATGGTACATTCGAATTCAGCATTTTCATATGGACTTCCATCACATTCGAATTCGATGCCTACAAATCAATCTGTTCAACAACAACAACAACAACAGCCCCAACAACAAACACCATCAATGATGACATCGATGTTTAATTCAAGTGGTATTACAAATTCTGGACAAGTTGCCGGTATTAACAATATGAATTTTCCAGTCAATCAAAGCCTTATGATTGGCGATTATGCAGCAGCTGTTTCTGGACAAACTATACCTCCTTATAAGCCAATCTAAAAAAAACTATTTAAAAAAAATCAGCCTTCTTCCATGGACACTTGTTTTTTTTTCTCTTACGATTATTTGAATCTCAAATCAGTACATATATAGAATTTATGACCCAGCTATACTTACTATTGTTTTTCTTTTTTTGTTTTCGTTCATCATTCGTAATCAGATTATTCAACAAAAAAAGTACGAAGAAGAAACTAATGATGATGATGATGTATGCTTCCAATTAACACAATTATAACAAACAAACAAAACAAAAAAAATGGCCAAAATGACAGATACACAAACACACACACACACACAAACCAACCAATATTGGCATCGATAATGACAAAGATTCATTATTATACTTAGATTTTATTTTGAATAATTTTTTTTCCCCTATGGAATTTTGCATGTGTGTCTGTTTCATTTTCCTTTCATAATTAATATTCATGTATAGTATGTGTTTGTGTGATTTTTTTTCAATTTAGGGATTTTTTTGGGGGGAAAAAAAGAATAATATACTCATGAAAAAATTAACATTTGAACAAGATTTGAAAAAAAAAATTTTTCCAAAACAAACCAATTTGTAAAACGATTCCGTTTTAAACCGATTGTGTGTGTGTGTATTCAACGATTTCTGAAAATTTCAACCAAAAAAAAAAAAAAATTGTTTTTTTTTTCTTTTTTTTTCATATTTTCTCGGGTTTNNNNTTTCCAAAACAAACCAATTTGTAAAACGATTCCGTTTTAAACCGATTGGGTGTGTGTGTATTCAACGATTTCTGAAAATTTCAACCAAAAAAAAAAAAAAAATTGTTTTTCTTTTCATTTTTTTTCATATTTTCTCGGGTTTGTGTTGAAACAACAACAATGGAAAGAAAAATCCAAAAAAAACCTCTCAATGAATACTCAATATATAAATAGCCAATTAATTAATTAATTATATACACACACACAGAGGATAAGGTCACAGACTAATTATTCATCAAAACACATTGAACATGGTCGACATTAATTAATTTTTTGTGTAAAAAAACAACATCTAATTTGTCAACACTAATACTAATCTTTTTAAAATAACAAAAAAAAAGAATCAGAATTTCGTTTCTTTGTAATTTCATTCTGGTTGTGTCGATAAACATTTTGTTTTGTTTCGTTTTGATTCGCATAATTCTTTTTTATTTTTATTTGTAATCGATATTTGATCGTAATTTTATAATTGCAATAAAAACAAATAAATAAGTAAATAAGTTTGGACAAAAAGTTTAATCATTTGCAAAGAAACCAACAGACTAATAATTTATAACAATGAATTTTGATTCGATTTTTTTTCAAATGTTTATTTCCGATGAAATCGACGACCTAATCGTATGAATGATACAATTAATGAATGCCATAAAAGATTTAGATTATTTCGATACCATTGACTGTAATGGAAATTTTAAAAAATATTAACCAATCGTTTCTGATTTGGTGTGGGAGAAAAATAAAAATCTTACGAATTATAGCTAATATATCGTTGATGATTATCATCTAGAAATTTTTTATAAAATTGTGCCAATTCTTCATGTGTTTGTGTAGAATCAAAATTCATTTCGGATTGTCGATTTTTTAGCTCATTTTCAACATAATTCTTCTTTTTCTAATAGGGGGAAAGAAAACAAAATGTTTTTTTTTGAAAATCAATCGAATCAATAAATTTTTTTTTAAATAAATTACCTGATTGAATTCGGTATTAATTTTTGACCAATATTCATGATTAAGATTTTGTATCTGTATTCGACGTAAACGTAATCGTTTTTCATAATCAGTTTCATTTTCTTGTACAGCATAGTTAAATAATCTTAGTTTTGATGTTGGATGTGGTATTGCTGAAACTTTATCTTTTTGTTTCGATTTATGTGATGATGATGATGATGATGTTTGAATCAATCGATCATTTCTATTCGTAATTGGACGAATAATTTTTACAATTATATTATCATAGTTTCGCCATTGACGATTATTGATGATCCAAAATGTTTGGATCATTTTGAATCGAAAGAATTATCATCAAATTCTCATTTTTTTTGATAATAAAAAACACATGATTCTTTTTTATTATTATCAAGAAATGGTTGAAATTTCAAACACCAGGTGGCAATAAAGACGCTTGTAAATCTCATGCTTTCGAGAACAGCACACACACACTTCCCATTTCTGGTTTGTTCTCGGCTGTGATCGTTGGTTCTCGATTTTTTTTAGTTCATTCGACCACGTGCTCTCATCGAGTGTAAAAGGTAAATTTGATTTTTTCTAGAATTTTCCATCGTTTTTTTTTATCCAAAAATTTTGAAAATGATAATGATGAATCCAGATGACGAGTCTTATTTCTATTGAATTCAATTGACATTCAAACAATAGAAAAAAGGATGATATTTTGGCGACTGATTTATTCCCGAAAAAATATTGAATTTTTCTTTGTTTTTTCAATTTCTAACGACACTTTCTTTTCAAAAAACAGGAATCAAAAATGAGACAACGTTGCTGGATTGTTCCATAAATCGGTATGATAATTTTGTTTTAAATAAAGAAAGAAAATTGTTACAAATTCTAGCTAGGAAAAAAATGTGATGACGATTTACCAACTGAAAATTTATTTGATGGTAGTTCGAATAGAACGAGGCATTTGTCTGAAATTTTCTTTCTATAGATTTTTTTTCGAATTTACTTTTGTTGATTTCGTTAATATTTGCTAATTTTATGTCCTTCAAATTGAATTTAGGTTATCGTCGAATGGCAAAGATGATTTTTGATCCATCAAATTTTCCCAATTAAATATGGCAAAAGGTAAATTTACATAATAGAAACCCAATTTTTTTTTGCATAATGATCAATGATGATATTCCAAACTATGGTTTCGCAATTATAAAAGTTTATTATCCGAAACAACGATATTGACGATAATCTTGGCTGTCTGATTCATTTTTATCACCATTTTTTTCTATGTTAAAATCAGATATCTTAGTTCTTTCCCTTGATTTTAATTTTTATATCTATTTTGTCTCTTTAGAATTTCTATTTTGCCATGGATTCTGGATGGTTCAAAATTGAAGTTATGAAGGACCTAATTGTTCGAATAAGGTATGTTTGACGAATTCAAATCAAATTCTGTAGAAAAAATTAAGGATGAGATTATAAGACTAGAGTCTCAGATTTAAAAGAAATGAATGACAATTTGTCTTTACTGATTGATTTTATGATTTTATGAAGAATCGAATATCGCTTGCATCATCATTTCTAAAACAATTATCTTTTTCATAGGTTTTATGGCGCAAGGAGTGTTCCTGTTCAATCGAAGGATTTGATTCGGGTAAGTTTGAAATTTTGTTGTTTCTTGATTCAAGATAGTTTTTGGATTGAGTGATGAGTGGAATTTTTTTTCCCAAATTGACAAGCATATGTCTGATATCATCTAAATTGATGAATAATTTTTTTCTGATTCTAAATTTTTAACAAATTCTTTTTGGAATTTCGAATGATTATTCTAATTTGTTTGTTTTTCTTTTCGTTTTTTAAAGATCCAGATTCCTGAATGGTAAGTTGGAAACCCGATTTTTTTTCGTTGTGACGACCATAATAAACTCAATTGGAAATAAAGGATGAAAAAGAATATTGAAAGATTCGAATATTATTCTGACACCTCTTGTCGTAATAATTATGTTGCCGAGATAAACATTTCTGATCCACTAATTTTCTAGAAAAAATTAATTATTCAATCGATTGAATTTTGAAATTCTAATGGTTTTTTTTTGTATTTGTTTACCTTGTTTTTTAGATGATATTCGGATTATGTAATTTTTTTTAAATGACGATAAAAAAATGATTTTTTGATGAATAAAATTGATTAAAATTTCAAAAAAGTTGTTTTTTTACAATTTTTCTAAATGATTCATCGAACGATTATTCTCAAAAGTTCCAAAAGTTTCTGGAAATAATGAGAATTTTCTAGATTTTTCCAGCAATTTCAGCTATTTTTCTCGAAACATTTCTCTGTGTTTGCTATCAATTAAGACCACTACTACTTATATTTTGATTTACATTAATTTTGCCACTACAACAATCCTGTTTGACAATCGACTGATAGTATAAAAAGGCAGCCGGTTCGAACTGTCAAACCATCGAATATTGAAAACGAAAAAGCGAATTTCTAAAAAAAAACTCGAATACTTTTCTTACTGCGATCTTCAACGATTTTTCACTGCGAATTTTCGAATTTAATTTGTTTTACGTGTTCAATTACGATTATTGAAAATGTTGGCTCTTCCACGACACATTTCCCGAATGTTGAACGATGTTATGGATGATGACATCTTTTATTGGCCGGTATCAACTTTGCAGAACCGTAATTGGTTGTCAACATTGAATGGCGATATCCAAATGCCATCTTGTCAAGATGGAAAATTTTTGGTAAATTTCGATGTTCGAAATTTCGATCCGAACAGTGTTCAAGTGAAATTGGATGGTAACAATTTACAAGTTCAAGCTAAACATGAAAAGAAAGGTGATGGCCATTATGAATATCGTGAATTTGTTCGACATGTTACTGTGCCGAATAATGTTGAAGCCGATCAATTGAAATGTAAAATGGACAAAGATGGTGTACTTCGATTCGAAGCTCCATTAAAACAAATCGAACCAAAAGAATCTCGTGAACGTAATATTCCGATTGAAATGGTAAATCGAAACAAACCGGCTGTTGAACAACAAAAAGAAGCTAAAAAATGAATGAATTTTGGCTTGATTGAAGATTTTTTCTCTGTCGTTATCTCATAAGAATTTTTGATAATCTCTTAGATTCTCTCATATAATGGCTTTGTGATATACATTCTGTATTTATCAAATATCTTTTTTTTTCACTCAAGATTTGATTTATAATCAATAAAATCTTTAAAAAAAAAATCAATAACCTTTGTTGATATTTTTTTTGTCAATTTTAGCCTTGATTTTATTTTTTTCACGCCAAGCGACAAACAACAAACAAAACAAAAAATCGAACCATATTTAGGGTATCTATAGTCTTGTTACTAACCACAAAAAAGAACAAAAAAAATTGTTTTTCTCAATTGGATTGGATGGGTTGGTTGTTGATGGATTTTGTTTATCAATGTTTTGTTTTTCACCGAAATTTTTGTTGTTGTTGTTTTGACGATGATAATTGATATGATGATATTAATAGTAACAAACAAACAAAATATGTTTGTCTATGACTTTTGTGAAAATTCAATTTGAAACCAAAAAAAAAGAAGATACATTTGTAGCAAACAACAATTTTTGTTTTCTTCATTGATGAGTGGGAAGAAATGGATAGGTAAAGTGTAAATGATTAAAACCGGAAAGTTGTTTATTTTCATTCAGTTTCTTTTGAAGATTGTAGTTTTTTGTTTGTTGAAGAAATTAATTAAAAAAATAAATTAATTTTTGATAATTTTTATGATTCATACCTGTTTATTATTATTTTTTTTGCGAAATAAAGGTGTTTCGTTTGATAAAGGTATCAATTTTTTGGAATGGAAAATTCTAGAAAATGCGCGAAACATCTTCGAATTGACTAGAATCTGAAACCGAAATTGAAAGAAAATTCGAGATTATTCTCCATTCATAGCGAATAATGTTCGAATGATCTGGAAAATACTGGAATTCGATATGCGCATGCGCTTTACTTTTCATAGTCTCGATTACAGTATTTGAACAGTATTTAAACGCGATCAAGTTGTCCAACAAGACATCATTCACTGAAAAGCAAAATAAAACGATTTTTGAATACTACGAATTTCAAAAACTATCTCAACTCGCTTCTTCCAAATTATTCTCAACGCGAATTACCGATTAACGTTACGAATCGATATTTTTTGTTGTTGTGTGTGTTTATTTGTCAACTGCCTGATTGTATAATTATCGAAAATGTTGTCAATTCCACGAAGTTCTTATTGGGATGATGATGACATGTTTGCCATCAATCCATATTGTTCTTATCATCGTCCTCGATCATCATGGTTAATGCCAGCATTGGATCGTTTTCTTACATTGGACGAAATGGTTGCTCAACCATCATCGATGATCAAAAATGGTAAATTTCAAGCTGATCTTGATCTACGTAATTTCGATCCAAATGGTATCAATGTAAAATTAGATGGTAATACATTGCAAGTGAATGCCAAACAAGAAAAGAAAGGCGAAGGACATTATGAATTCCGTGAATTTAAACGTATGATTTCCATTCCGAAAGAAGTGGCCGAAGATCAAATGAAATGTAAACTTGATAAAGATGGTCGTCTTCGAATCGAAGCTCCGTTGAAAAAACAAATGGAAATCGATGAAAAAGGACGTAACATACCGATCGAAATGGTCAACCAAAAGAAATAAATTTTGATATAAACAACAAATGATAATCTTTTTTCTCTTGAATCGGTATCTCATTTACTATTTCAGTTTTAAACATTCTTGATCATTGTAAACTAGCAAATGCTAGTGATTTTTTTTCTGTAATACATACTTATTATACATATAATGAATAAATAAATAATTTTCTTTTAATAATTTGTGTTCGTTGATTTTCCTAAGCCTAAACTTGAAAAAGTTACCATCATTATCTTAGAAAATCGGACAAATTGATTTTTGAGAAAAGGATTTTGTAACAGCACCACCTTTTATCCAAATAACTAAATTGTTTATGGATATTGGGCATAATGAAAATGGAACATATGAAACGTTCGATTTTATTTTCGAAAGAAATTTTATTTAAAAAGTTTTAAAACATTGATCGAATAATTTTAAAATCGATCACGAATTTTTTTGGTAATTAATAATTTTTGAAATATAAATGGTTAATTTAATTATGCTCGATTTTTTTTCAGAAAATCTTTCATTTTCGTTTTAAAACATTGGAGCTCGAATACGGTTAGAAGTTCGCCAGGTAGATTGTTGCAGGTCATCGTTGTATGATTCCAAAGGTGTTGGATGTATAATTTCAAAACTACCTTCATGACCAATACCAACACCTCTAAAACTGGCAGGATTATTGAACGAGATCAATTTCGAATTGAACACAATATCTCGTATAACACCGTAAAAATTGGATGAATAACCTTTATTGATGACAGTGAATCCAGGTGCTAAAACAAAACCAAATGAATGATTATTATTGATCAAATCAGATGAAAATAAAAGAAATACTTACGAGTACCACCAATAAAAAGACCACCTTTCTTTGGTGCTTCAATCACTCGTGATTTAGCTAAACGTAACTGTGTGCTTTCATGTTCATCATCAATCAGAATACGGAATCTTCTCATATCTTTAATACAAGTGACCGTATGATATTTACCATCGGAAACATTCATATTATCAAATCGGTAACTGCTTACACCACCACCACCATTTAATCGTACTTCAAGAGTTCCATTATAAATGTAGAAAAAGTAATAATGCTGTGAAATTAAAAAAATGATGTTTTTTTTGTAAATTAAATTGTAATTGATTTATGAATAAAACTTACATCATCTTTTCTTTCATAACTTCGTGGTAATCCTTCGAATGTTGATAATAATAGAACACCATGCGGTCTAGGTGTTTTGAATGTAAAACTAAATTCCGCATGATCGGTTAATGGTTGACCATCCAATTCAAGATATCCTTCACCGAAGAAACTTGCCATTCGAATCGGTTTTTCCATACAACCAGGTTCAATACCGAATGATTGTATACGTTGGAAATTGATAGGCACGGCTTCGATTTGTGGTGAATTCATACAGCCAACAAATGATCGGAATACAACATTTGGATATTCTAAATCGCTTATCAATGTAAAATTTGGCGTAACACCACCAAAATAAACATCTGATCCAGCTAGATCTAAATCAGTTGATCTTCCACTTGATTGTAATGTTTTTTCATAATTTTTCTTTTGAGAATCCATTACAAATTCCAATACAGCTTCATCTCTTTCTCGTTCGGCTCTTAGATTAACCCATTTTCCAGTATTAAGTTTTTCATCAGTCACAATTGATTGTAATAAACCTGGTCGTCCAATACCAGAACCAAAATGACATTCATAATGAACATGTCCATCTTTCAAATAGATTGCAACATAATCACGAGTTCGAGGATTAGATGTAAAAAATAGCAAAGCATTTTCATCAAATGTACGGAAATGCATTGAAACAAGATATCGATCTCTATTATAATTAGATATTTGTCTAGTCTTGCCATAAGCAAATTCATCGAAAAAGGTATACATGTTTGGATCTAGTGATTCAAATAAAGAATATGAGAATTAGAATTATATTTTCTGAACTGATTCTCACTTACCAATCGGTTCGGTTGCACCTTCCATACAGCCATCACAACCAATATTACTGGTAAAATTCCATAAACCAACACGTTTACCATCAAGATATACTTCGAACAGACATCCACCAAATGATCGTGATTGTAATTGTCTTGGAATCTGTGGAATTTCCGTTGGTAAACCACCAATGTAAAAATATGAATTTCGATCTAGATTCATTTGTTTCGATTCTGAATTTGATGAAACACTCATTTCCAATGGATCCTGGAATCTTGCACCCTATTTCAAAAAAATGTATACGAATAATTCAAATATAATGGATAATTAATCAGTTTAACACTTACCGGTACAGAAAGAACAGAAAGATTTGCAGTAGATCCATATCTTTTTACTTCTATCTTATACCAATGTGAATCTTTACTTAACGATGCATCATTAGTAAGTATATTCAATGGATGTGTTATCATTCGTTCATTGTTTCCAGTACTCCATATAAATCGTATCTGTCGATTAACCATTTCTATTGACATAAAATCATTATTATATCCTTGACTTTCACGTGCACCAAGATACAAAAGTAAACTATCACGTATATGTTCATGTTTAATAGCATAATACATGACAATATTATTTGTAAATGATGGTTCAATATCCGGTTCATATGTACGAATACAGACACCTTCACGATCGGCACCCAATGATACACGTATACTGGCAGCTTTTTGTCTAGCTAATTTTATCTTAGCTTTTAATTCATCCAAATTCAAATCAAATTGTTGTTGATGTCGTTGAAGACCAGGTCCTTTGGATTCAATTTTAACAATTTCTTCTTTCAAACGTTTCAATAGATTCAATGATTGAGTAATATCACGTTTTATATCATCCAAATCTGCTTTTGGTCCTGAACTTAATTTTTCTAAATCTTGTTCAAGTGTAAAGATTCGTATCATCATTTCATCTAATCGTTTATGACTATTGGCCAAATTATCCAATAATGATTGTAGACGATCATTAATTAATCGAACTTCATTACCAAGTCCACGTGGTAATTGATCAAGACTTTTATTAATCCAATCTAAATCCTGTCTGGCAGCATCAATCATGGCTTCGATTTCAACCAACATTCGTTGTTTTTGTGCAATTTCATATTGCAAATCACGAAGACGTTTATTAAGATCATCAGCTTCTTTAAGCAATTCTTCACTTCGTTTTCGTGCTTCAATAGCTTTTTGTAATAAAGAATCATCATCATCTGGATTGGCTTCATAAAAAGCTTTTTCAGCCGCTGCTCTAGCATTAGCTACGGCTTCTTCAGCTTCAGTCAAAGCTTTAACAATATTTTCATAAACATTCGCAGCTTGTAACGGTGATCCAGCAACATTTCTAGTCTGATTAAACAATCGACCTAATTCATTTACACGACGCATCAATTCAGCTGCATGATCTTCACATGGTTTTACATATTTTTCTTCATATTCTGGATTCAATCTAGCCAGAATACTTCTTCGTTTTTCAATTTCATCAGTTAATTCATTCATTTGTCCAATCAGATCGGCTAAATCATTGAATTTGATTTTTGTATCAAACAATTCACGATGTATTAGATCTAATAATTCTCTAGCTTCATTCAATGCAATATGTGCAGCTTCACCATTCTGTACGGCATTATCTCGAGCATCGAAAATAGCCTGTAACAAAGGCCGTATTGAATTAACAATACGTTGTGCTTCTCTTGTTTCGGGATAAACTTTTCGATTGATCATTTCATAAATTTCATTAAGTAATCGTAATAATTTACTAATACGATCTTGCATTGGTCGTGTATCACCACGTTCAGTCAACAACAATAGTACACGTTCAAGTAAATATTGAGCTTTTTTTAATTCAATATCACCTTTTCGATTATCTGGTGAAAAATCTGTCATACGTAATTCTTGTAAAATTCTTACAGCTTCTTCATACATTCGATCAGCTGCCGTTCCATATGGATCAGTAGAATCTACCAAATGATGTTTCAATTGATTGATAATATTTTGTATCTTTTCCCAAAGATCACTAATTCTATCTTTCATATCTTGTGCTCTGTTTACAGTATCTCGTGCCTTTTCAGCTTCATAAGGAGCTTTACGTGAAAGATCTTTTGCTTCCAGGTTGAGCAAATTGGCTAAAGTTTCTAGATCAAAATCAACAGTAAAATCTCGAACCATTTTTTTACCATTCATTACTCGTTCTTTGAATTGATTCATTCGAGAATTTGTAATGTTAAATTTTTTAGTCAAATACATCAAACGAGTCCAAGGTAGATTTTCAACATCTGTCAGATTAGCTTCCTGCAGGATTGATTGCAAAAATTCGATATCATCCAATAATGTTCCTGTACAATCATCATCACAATTAAGACATCCAGTATCAGTAACAACATGTCTTGGTGGACAATTACCACAATCATGTCCGGTTATGCCTTCTTTACAAGGACATTGTCCAGTTCGTTTATCGCAAATGTTACTTAATGATCCGATTGGTGAACAATTACATGGTACACATTTACCATCCGGTGCCATTGGATCACCCCAATAACCATCAGCACATTGTTCACAATGTCTTCCAGTATAGCCAACTTGACAATCAGTACAAACATATTCAGAATTCGAACCCGGTAATAATTCACAAGTTTCACTGAAAGAATTAACTAATGTTGGACAGGCACATTTACGACATGGAATAGCTCGTGTTGGATCACCATAATAACCACGAATACATTGATTACAATAAGGTCCACCTGTAAATGCTTCACAATTTAAACATTCACAAGTTTCTTTATCACAAATTCTACTATAATTATGACAATTACATGGTTCAGCCCAACCAACCAAATCAAGAATATCTTTCGAATCCAGATAATTTTGTTTACGTTTACGACAATAGCCAATATTTGGATCTTGACAAGATGCTTCAGCATATTGCGGTGGACATTGACATTGTTCAATACCTGCAGCTAATTTTGAAGAAAATCCTCCAAGTGTAGCAACATCAACCGAAACATCACTAATACGTACAAAATTTGCTTCGATCAAATCACTGGCACGAATTAAAATATGTTGAACTTTTTGCAAAGCAACCATAAGAACATCACGTGTAACAGGATATTCCGGATTATCGGCCAATGTCCATTCAGTTTCATGTAATCGAACACGATATAAACCAGTTGGTGATAATTGTTCAGGTCCATAATGATAAAGAATGATTCGATGATTACCTTGCAATACTACTAATGGAAAACGTTTTCGTAAAACTTCATTCAATTTTCCACCACCTCTACCATAGGTTCGGAATCGTATAAGACCATTATAGGTAGCCACTTGATCATTTAACATTTCCGTTGGCATTGACCAATAAAATGATTGTTGTAGTTCGCCAAAATTTTTCACACCAACCGATGATGTATCTGGTGGTATAACTTTAAAACCAAGTACTGAACGAATTTCTGTCGAACCAATAACAAAATATGCTTCACGTTGTGGATAATTATGTTCAGTCCAAACCATTCTGGATTGATCACATTGGCCAGATTTTCCAAAACAAAAACATTGAAAACATCCTAATGGATTATCAGCAGCCAAACCAAATGTACCTTCCTTACATACATCACATCTTCTGCCTGCTACATTTTGTTTACAAGGACATTGTCCACTTTCATCACATTGACATAATCCATCTTCACGACAAGATGATGGATCTGTTCCTGGTTCATGACAATCACAACGGCGACAATTCGGAAAACGATAATAGCCAAATTTACATTTTTCACAATGCATTCCTTCAAAACCATCCAAACATACACATTCACCGGTTTTGTGATTACATTCATTATTTACTGATCCTTGAAGATTACAATCACAAGTTTGACAACCGGCAAGAACATCAAAACCCCAAGTTCCTGGAGCACAATCATTACAAGTTGGACCGGCAGTATTTGGTGGACAAACACATTTTCCAGTTTTAGAATCACAAATATGACCAGGTGCTGTACATGGTTCACAAGCTGCACAACCATTAGGTCCAAATCCATAATAACCAGGTAAACATTGATCACAATGTAGACCACCAACACCAGGTTTACATTCACATTGACCAGTCATTTCATTACAAACATTGCTATATGAACCGGTTATGTTACAATTGCATGGTTCACATCCTTTATTTGATACTAAATTCCAAAATCCAGGTTCACAACGGCTACAATCTCGTCCAATGACAAATGGTTTACAAATACATTGGCCTATTTCGAAATGAAAAATTTTAAATTTTTAGCTGTTATTATTATTATTTATTATTCAAAATACCTGTAAATTCATCACAATCTGGTCCTTCTGATCCAAGTTTATTACAATTACACCATTCACAGCCATTATTGGAAAAACCAAAATGACCTTCCAAACATTTGTCACAATGTTGTCCAAATACACCTTGTTTACAATGACATTGTCCAGTTACTTCATCACAAAATTGATCCATCGATCCGGTCATATTACAATTACATGAAATACATCCTAATTCAATGTTACCATAACCAGGTGCACAATGATCACAACGAACTCCAGTATAATTAGGTTTACATTCACATTGTCCAGTTGTAGGATTACATTGTGTACTAACAGATCCTTGTATGTCACAATTACATGCTTTACAATCACCGATAGCAGCATTACCCCAATGATCAGGTAAACATTCATCACATTTCCAACCGCCAAAATTTTCCAAACAATATTTACATTGACCAGTTAAACGATCACAATATCCTTCAACAGTAGTATTAGCATTTGGACCACAATCACATGGAGCACAGAATCCACCCGGAATCAATGGATTACCAAAATAACCATTTGCACAAATTTCACATCTTTCACCAGTATAACCTTCTGGACATTCTAAACAAATATAACCATATTTGGCTGATGATTCTAGTCGACATGTTGGTGAAAAATTATTCGATGGAATTAATAATGGACAAGCACATGGTTTGCAATCATCTTCACGACCGCGAGTAGCATCACCATAAAATCCTGGTTTACATTCACCACAAGTTGGTCCGGTCGTATTATGAAGACATTCTGAACATACACCTGTATATGGATCACATGATTCAGCATGATTGTTACAGTTACATTTTTCGCATACTCCATTCACTAATACATTGTTAACACGTCGATATCCAGGTTCACAATATTCACATGAAAGACCAGCATATCCTGGTGGACAATCACATTGTTCCGTACCAACAGCTTTCTTAATACTGGCCGATGAATTGGATGCTTTTTCCAGATCAGTTTGATAAAGTCCACCAGATACTTGATCAGTATGATATTTAGCTCGTATTAATAAACGTTTCAAATCATTCAAAAGAAGTGCAAAATCTTGACGTGATGGTTGTGAATCTGGTATTTCTCGCCCATTATCATCAACACGAAACCAATTCTGTTCACGTAATGGTAATATAATAGTTGAATTGAATTCATCTTCATCTGAATCTTCTGGTCGTTTTTGCCAACGAAAACCATAACGAGAACTATCTGGTCCACCTTCAAGAATAACATCAGGTTCGTCGGTATAAACACCCGAAGTATCACCACGTACAATTACATATCTGACAATGTATTTCAATGCATTACCATATGTGTATAGATTTTGACCAAGATATTCGGATGGTGCTTCCCAAAAATAAAGATTTTGTGCTCGATCAGGAATATAATCATCAGCAATTTCATAATGGCCATCTTCAACAACAGGTTCCAATTTAAACGACCCGGGAACATCGGTAACACGCCATCGTTCTGTACTTTTAATCACTTCGATACCCCAATCACTTGGTTTACATACGTTCGTTGCTCCAAAACAATAACATTGCGAACAACCATCAGGATTATCAGCAGCCAGATTATAATATCCTTCTTTACATTTGTTACATCTGTGGCCAATAACATTCGGTTTGCATATACAATTTCCATCACAAACTTTAGAGTTTATAATACCAGCATTGACACAAGTACATTGTTCACATCGAGGATAATTTCGATAACCTTGTGCACAACGATCGCAACGTGGACCTTCGAAACCTTCGCGGCAAAGACAATCGCCCGGATGTCGACCTTCAATCTGATGACTATCATCTTTAACACAAAGTTTGTTCATTCCCGGTCCATTACATTGACATCGTTGACATGGTCGTTCATTTTCGATTTCAATATCTTCGGGTCGATAATATCCATCTTCACATTGTTCACAATTAATACCGGTCGTATGATGTTTACAACGAACACAAACACCTCCACCTTCATAGTTACCTTCTTTGTTGATACTTAATTTTTTATCAGCAACAGTTTGATCATAATAACATTCATCAGCATGTCCATGGCATTGACATTCTTCACAAGGAAAACCATCACGTTTCGTGCCTGGACGCCATTTTTTCTGATTAAACATTGGACAACATGTTTCACATGATCGGCCACATGTATTATGTTGACAATTACATTTAGGTAATGGATGTATTGTTAATCCTCTATTTGGTATGGCTACTGCATTTGGTATATCAGGTGCTTGACATTCTTTAGCATGTCCATTACAACTACACATACCACCAATCGATATGTCTTTGATCGAATAGAAAAGCTAATAAAGATAAAGATAAAGATATAGATTTGTTGATGTGAGAAAAAAAATAAACATTATCTTCATTTTTTGTTGTTGTTGATAATACATACTCGATTAGTTAATGTGCTATCACTTTTATCAATATCATTAGGATCATAGAAATAATTTCCTTTCAATGTACGAATTTTTTGCATTCGAATACGAATATGTTGTGCTTTGATAAATTCTCTTAATGTTGGACTGATTCCATCCGGTGTTTCAACTCCAGGTCTTCCATTAATCAATGAAATATCAATCTAAAAATTTAATGATTTTTTTTGTTTGTTGTAATAATTGAAAATATTAAAAAAAATAAAAATAAAATTACCTCTTCATGTGCGATGACATTATTTTTCGAATACATTGATGTACAAATAACTTCATCATCCGTACGATAACGTAATTTTCCAATCGATGGTCGAACACGATATCGTTCCCAACATTCAGTATCAGTTTGTGCAAAATATTGCCATGGATAATAATTAATTCCATCGATTGATCGTTCTAAAATCCAATTTGATGGTAATGGAGAAATAGCCGATTTTATGATTACATAGGCAATTTCATAAACTTGTCTTAAATTAATGTTTATGGTAATCCATTCATAACGTTTTCCATTTTTTAAACTTGGACTTTGCCACCAATTTTCCGTACCATCGATTGCATTTTTAATCGGATGTCGTTTTGAATAATCTGGATTTGATGCATCACAAACATTACAATCGGTACTATTTATGCTTTTAAATCAATCAAACAAAATAAAAAAATTATAATTTTTTAAAAAAATTTTAAGAAAAATTTACTTATGTGAAACTAAAAGACAATAATATTCTGGACCAGTTTCACCACAAGTTGCATTCACCGAAATAATAGCATCAACAGCTAAATTTATAATGTTTGGATATAATCCTTGAACATGTTCTGTGGTGGGAGGTGGGTAAATGAAAAAATGAATGTAAAAAAATGATTAATTTTTTAGTTTTTCATCGAAAACAAGTTATAAAAAAAAACCTATGTATTCAGGCAGATTATAATCATAGGGAATATAACGATCATAGATTCCAAAATGATTATTATTATCGTAAATTGAATAGGGATTTTTTGGTGGATAAAAATTCTGATAATTTTGATTTCGTTTAGATTTATATTTTAATTGATTCATTAAAACAATTGTAGATAATAATGATAATGATAAAATGATTGTTATAAATATATGACGATAATGTTGAATAATGTTTTTCACCATGATTACTAGAACTAAAATACTAGAGTTTGTCAATGATGATAATAATCTAACCAGAAATGGATGAATTTAGGTTAGTCTGTTAGTCGAATATTGATTTTTTCTCATTGATGATTTTGATTTTGATATTTTTTATCAAATCATGTTAACTAACAAGTAGCTTTATGAGATATACAAATGTGTGAACTGCAGTTGTGTTCATTTCCATGTTTTTATGTAGCATTTTTTGTCGGTTATATCAATCGATTTTGATTTTTTTGAAAAGAAAGAAAAAATCACTACCCGAATATTGTCGTTGTAATATTTTTTAGATTTTTTTTAGTTGTTGTTGGCTTAGTTCTTGTTCAAATGTTTACAAATATAAACATTTTTTTTTTTTTGTAAAATTAAAAGAAGAAAAAAAAATGCAATCAAAGCAGAATTTGATAGTTTTCATGATTTATTAGGCATACAATAAATTGGAAAAATTTCTAATCAAAGAAAAATTCTTTAAACTAAAAGCATTAAACGAAAAGATTTTCATATTAAAAATCAGATGCACAAAATCTACATTGATTGATTGATTGATCAAAATAAATTTAGAAAGTAAGTCGCGATATAAAACTTAAAAATGCTAACAGATGCTGATTGAATATCAGTAATGCTAAAGTTTTTCTTGAAAATCTATATGAAAAAGGATTTTACCTTTTTTTGTTGTTGTATTACCGGGTGATCGTCGATTTGATTCAGATGATGATGATGATGAACCAATGAATTCGATTTCATTTTCTAAATCATTATTTTCAAATCGATGATAACGTGAATATTGATGTGGTGATGAATAGGTATCATGTGTTATAATACGACCACGCCATTCATTTGTATTATCATGTAATGACAATGATGATACTAATGATTGATTGTCAATGTTGATGATGATGATGGTCAATATAAATGACCAATAAAGTATTGATTTTATCATCGATAAAAAGATTTCTTAACACATTAAATGAAACAAAACATCAACGATGATTATTTAGTTTTTGTTGATCAAATAATTCTGACCACGAATAACATTCAAAATGTTCTGTTTATGTATGAATCGAATTGGATTGAAAACAGATGCCAGAATTTCGTTTGTTGTTAATTGCTTGTGACTGTTGATTAAACTGGTCATCAATAGAGAGAAAATAAAAACAAAATCAAATGTAAATAATTTTGGTGATCTTAGAATAGAATATATTCGGGTAGGGTCATCATTTAAGTTGATATTTTGGGGTTGTTCAAAAAAAAACTATTTACGATCAAATCGTATTATATACAAAAAATCATTGTTTATCGTTGAAAATATAAACTTTTAGAATCTTTCATCTGTTTGAGAATTTGAACGAATTGACTGTATTCTTTATAAATCACATTCAATCATCAATTCGATCATCAAAATGATCGGCAAAATGATGTTTGTTGATGTTTTCAGATGGTCAAAAGAATAACAAATTTCAATGATAAACATTTTCAAAGTTTTTTCATTTGAAAAGAGAAACATTGTATAAACAATTTCTTTTCGCGATAAAGAATTCAAATTACAGAATTCTGTGGATATATAAAACAAAAATCTTACCTTAATTTGAAATTCTGTATAGGAAAAAAAAATTGTGCCCAATTCACAACTCACTAACGATGATGATGATTATAATTCAAAGAAATCTCATTTCAGGTTTCAAATATTTTTTATTTTTAATACTGTAAATGGAAACAAAACAAGGTGGTGGCAGTTTAATTTCAATATGAATAATAATGCCATATAAAGTCTTAATCGCGTGGGTAGATTTTTCCAAAAAAAAAAATATATTAAGATTTTCAAAAGCAACAAAAAAGTTTTCAAAATCAAGAAAATTTTGTTTGATATCCTCACTTAATTTGGCATGATATTTCTTCTTTTTCTCTCTCTATCTCTCGTGTTTGATATTAGTTCTTTTTGGCCGCCATATTCACTTACTACAAGTTACAAAGTATACATACAAACACATTTGGTCATTTTGTTTTGATGATATAAAATTTTTCAAAAAACAAATTACAAACGAACCATATCGTCGAATAGAATATGAACATTTACGAATGATGAGGTCCAACAAGATTATTTTGTTTACACTTGTTGTTGTCGTTTGTTGTTGATAAGCTATGGTTAATTATCAACATTTTTTTTTGCTGATTGAATTACAATGGTAATGAAAAAAAAGTGTTCCTCTTTTCTCGGACAAACGGCAACCATATTCAATATGGCTAAATATGAACATTTGATCGATATTTATTGATAGAAATAATTATCATAATGAAATGATTTTGTGGACATGGAAATGGAAATCTTTTAATCTTTTTCAATAGTTTCATGATTCACTCAATAGATGGCAATTTTTTTCCTCGTACTTTTTGTTTTCGTAACATTTGCCAAAAATGATTGCACCATTTCAATGTTTTAAGATTGATCATTTTTTAACTATCGACTTTAAACAATGCCAATTAATTCCAAATACATTAGCTATCTTCTTCGTCATGACAGCCGAATCGAAACGATTGTCGATGATTATGGATTTATTAGTTTGAATGATTTGAATCGAATAATTCAAAATGATAAACATGAATTAATCAACGAACAACAATTGATTCAGATGGCAGAAGATTCGACAACAAAAAAACGATTCGAATATGAATATCGATCAAGTGATGAAGATCCGAATATAAGTAAATTGTATATCCGTGCATTGAATGGACATTCATTTGCTTTACGTGCAAATATTTTTGAACCATATATAAACAAAGATAAATCATCATCTAAATATATTTATCATGTTACTAATTCACATCTAATCAACAATATTCTGAATGAAGGTCTAAAACCAATGGCTCGTCAGTTTGTACATTTATATGAACAAAAAGATCTGGTTAAATATGATGGAAAACGTAACACTTTACTTGAAATCGGTCCAATCAATGAAGAAATAAGACTTTTTCGTTCAAAAAATGGCTATCTAATGTGTCCGGATATTATTCCACCAAAATATATAAAACCTATTAAAAGATAAAGATTCTCTTCACTATTGGATTAATTTAAAAAATGAAAATTGAATAAAAATCTTTGCAAAATTCTTGAAATAATTTTTATCCAAAATCGCTAAAAAAATTGGTTCAGATTTTATCCTAAAGATGGCCGTCATGATGTTTAGATTTTTTTACTCATTTTTTGTATTCTCCTCCCTTATCTCTTTGAGCCATTGTTGTTGTTGTTGAAAATCAGCAGTTATCACTCTGGATCCATCCATCCAAAGTGATGAAGATCCACCGAAAAAAAATCCTAATTTTTGTTCAATAAGTTCATTCGGATCAACAACACGATACCAAAAAAAATGGCAAAAGTATTAATTTTCTTAGTGTTTTTGTTTGGAACCCTTATGACCTCAATGGCTTTCCAATCAAACAATCCATTCAATGATCTACCATTTCATACAACTACTTTGATTGATGATGGATCTTCCAATGATTTGTTCGAATTAGAACATTCATTATCAATGATGAATCATTCAAATTGCCAGGAAATTTGGTGTGAATCACAGCTAAATCCATATAATAATTATTATGGTGATATGGTTGGCTTTGGTGATGAGAAACGCGATACAGGATTTTGGTTAGAACCACCACCCGATGATATCCTATTCATACCACCGCCACCAATGCCTGCAGCATTGCAAGCATTTTTTAGCTCAATGGAAAATGAAACAATGCGTGAATTTATCATTGGCGAAGATCCGATTGAAGGTGTACGATGTAATTTTTGTAAATTATTTTCCGATTCCAAAGTATATCAAGATGATGATGGCATTAGTTCGATGTATCCTTCATCATCATCATCATCGAAAAGCAATGAAACATTCATCTCTTTATTCTATGCTCTTATATTTTCATTAATATTTGTTATCCTTTGCATAATTTGCTTATTGATTAGATATAAAAAGTAAGTGAAAAATACTAATGATAGTTTGTATATTGATATATTTGTTACTTAATGTTAGATTTAGAATTTTTTCTAATCATGCTTGCCCGGTATGGTCTTCATCAAATGGAGTGATTGGACATCATAAATCATCATCATCATCATCATCTACTTCACCATCGGACACTTGTCTATCACCGGTTGTCAATGAAAAATCACCTCAATCAATTATAATGGATGCTTCATTAGCTTCTTTAGGCAAAAAATCCACAATATCTACTACTGGAAAATACTGGAAACGTGTTCCAAATAATGTTTCTGGTAATATATTGTTCATGGAAGATCGTCGAGGATTGCGTTCTTTGGGTGGCTCTTCCACTGGAATATCTGACCATCCTTATAGTGATGCAGCAAGTTGTACTTCAAGTCCGGTTTACGCTGAATTAGATCCGGCTGTTGCTGGTTGTGCAGCCAATCAACCTATGATTAGTCCTCTGATACGTTCATCATTTGGAACCCCTACTTATGGAGTTGGAGGCTATTCATCATCAAATACCTACACTGAAGTACCAGAAGGAATCGGTCAACGCCATCGACATCATTTAGATCATGGACATTATGCATTGTCATCAAATTTACTTTCCGATTCTTCCACGTATGATAATGCAGCCTACTTATCAGCATCATCTCAACAATTCAATCAATCTGGTGGATATAACTCTCGATCATTACGACGTTTAGCAGCTCAACGTTCAGCGGCCATAAATGCTGCGGCAGCTTCCAATCAAATTTCAACACCATTATTATCCAATCAACAATATCCTCCATATCATCCTTCTGGCATTCACCATCGTCAAGGATTTTTTCCTACTGGTGGAAGACCAATGAAAAAAATACGAACCAATGGAGGGCAATCATCTGTCAACTATTATAAATATGGAAATACTGTTTCATCAAGACCCTCCATGATGAATCATTATGTTAGTAACAATCATGAGACATCAATGCTGACCAATGAAACTGATCTTAGTAGCATCATTGGTCATAATGAAAACGATGTCAATTTATTCACTTCATTCATACATAATTCAATTCCAAATTCAAATGGTCTAGAAATCATTGGACAACGAAAATCATCTGAATTGTCATCACAATATAACGAAATGCCATTGATACCAACTTCAACGACATTTGGTAGCCAAATGAATGCTTATCGCGGAACAATGTCTGAGACACATTCGAACAATGATCTCAATTCGGCTGCTTCATCGTCAACCACATCTGGAGGAGGTGAACAGCGTAATACTGGCGGTGGTACATCGACAAATTCAACAGGATCATCCGTAACCGGTTCATCATCGACATCGATAAAACGACCATTACCACCAGTACCAGGATCTGGTAACGGTATTCAGCTTTAATTTTTTTTTTAATTTTATACTAAATTGAAATACTCATCATAATTTTGAAATGAATTGAAAAACTTTTGAGTTGGATATATATCATATAATCATATAAAATAGCTTCATTTTAATGAAAATAAAAATTAAATGATTTACACAAATAATTTGATTTAATAATAATAGAAAAAAATTATATGGATATATTTCATTTTTCTTTATGTAAAGCACAATACAAATCAAATAATAATAATAATAATAATGATAACATTATGAGAACGTAAAAATTCATTCATTGAAAAATTAAAATATAAAAAAAATGTAATTTTATTCATGATTGTCAAGATGTTTTGAAAAATCATTCTTGTCATTAGTGCGAAATGGATCAATGAATGAATTTCTTGAAATGATTATTTATAAAAAAAAAATAATTATTATTATTAAACGTTTTTTTTTCATTCGAATATCTTCGTAACGAGATAACAGACATGAGAAATTGACAAGAATCACAATTTTCAAGAAAAAAATTGCTTAAAATATATGATCACTGAGAACAAGAAGAACAAATAAAAAGAAGAAAAAAATGGTGGGTTGTTGTGAGTTTGTTTTTATTATGTAAATGATGAAATCAAAGAGAAAAAAGTTCTGAAATGAGTTTAGAAAAATTCGTCATTTGACCAAATTAAAATAGAAGATTGTCCAGAACAGATTTACACATGAAATTGCATGACACGATTGATAGGCATATTTTTTGAATTTGCCCAACTGATAATTGAGAATCTTGTATCAATTTAGATTATAATTATCAAAATTTTTTTTTATGCATAACAATATAAGTAAATTTTATATCTTCCTCTTATTTTGAGGTTTTTATGAGAATAATGAGTGCGATTATGTGCGTGTATAATCATTTTGAGTAATATACTAAATAAATTTTCATCAATTTTTTTGAAAAAAATACAGGTAGATCATTGTGGTCATTGGTTACGTGGAAATAACAACATTCAAATTTCATTCATCATCAGAAAGAATCTTTGGTGAAGAATTTGTTTCCAAGTCTTTCATTTGATCAGACGATTGCAGCTGATCAGCAGCTATACAAGTTTCTTCTTTGATATATTTTTTTGGATTGCTTTGTTTTCGTTTCTTCGTACTATGGCCAGAACTAGTTGTATTTTCAGTCTCGATTGAAGATGCTGATGCTACACTTGCACAAGGAGAATTGGCTGACAATGACTCATCAAAATCATCATCGGATCGGAGACGCTTCAATGAACATTGATTCGTTTCCGATGATTGTGAATCATCATTATCATTGGTATTTTCGGTTTCAGAATAATAGTCGCTCATTTCATTTTGATTCGGTGTAAGTTGTTGATTATCATCATTGTTGATTGTGGAATTGCCCAAAAATGAAGTCACTTTTGCTTGTCCATCAGCCATTATTCTGATAATGTTTGCTGAAATCGATTCATTACATTCTTTATTATTCTTTATTTTGGTATCTGAACTATTTTGATTTGGTTGGCTAGATTCATTTTCAGATTTTTTATTTTTAAAATTATGCTATCAAAATTCGAAAAAAATCAAGAATTAGCATTGAATAAAAAAAATGAAAAATTTTGAAACTTACATTCGGTGTTCGTTTACGGTGGGCAATAAAATCTCGACGCATATGAATAGGTCGATCCCGATTATGAAGTTTATAATAAAGACCACAGGCATTACAAACAATCTCACCGCGAACATTTCGTCGCCATTCACTGGATTGTGTAACATGACAATTACTGCATTGAACATCGCGAGGTTTCGATTGCTACAAAGAATATGAATAAAAATAAATTGTGTCGATTAGAATTATTAAGACTAACCTTTCGTCCTGAATGAGGACTGCTTGTTGGATCGGAAGATTTTCGATGATTAGCACATCGACCGCAAAGATAATGAGATAATGATCCATATCGTTTCAATTGAGTCATACTGCCTAATGCACCACAATTAGCGCATTCATGTTGTGCATAATCGTTGGGAGATTTGCCACCATTCGGGGAGGAATTATCAACACCTTCACCATTTTTGTTACCAACATGATCGACATTTGGATCGCCATTCGATAGATTAGTTTGATTCAATAATCCATTTAAATTAAATGCTTGTAACATGGCTACAACAGCAGGATTACATAAACTAGATTGTAAACTTGAATCTAATGGAAACGATCCGGGTTGAAGAATAGCTGACATTAAAGCTGTTTGTGTTTGGGCAGCAACAGGATTGTTGGCATTTATTGCTGATAATTCCAATAATTGTTGAAACGGTGCTAACGCAGCAAGATTTTGATGATTCTGTTCATAGAAATAAAAAAAAAAAACATTTTTTTTGAAAAAACTACATTCAAATGAATATATTTAAACAACTTACATTATCACTATTATCATCATTGGAATGACCGTTGTTATTGTCTAAATGTGATGTCACATTTTTAGTTTGTTCATCACTAATTGTCAATTTTCGTTCATGAGTACCGTTATCATCATCATTATCATCATCGTCGTCGCTATTTTGTTCGGATTTAATATGAGGTTGAAATGGTTCAATAGGGGATGGATCATCACCATCATTATCATGTTGAGAATCATTATCATGATTATTATTAGTATGATCCGGAGTTGAATCGGATGAATTTTCCGATTTAATATCAGCTAAATTATATAATGATTTGATCATATTTTGTGCGCTTGATGTTTGTTTGGCCATCGAATTTATAACATTAGATGAATTGCCGATAATTTTATTATGATTATTATTAACAATAGATGGCGAATGATTTTGAAAGGCACTTGGTTGTTTGTTGATCAAAGAAATCGGTTGATCAGATGAATGACTGTTTTTATTTAAATCATCATTGCCAGAGATCACAAAAACTTTAGAATTTTGTTGCATTTCCGTTGGCAATTTCGTCTGATTGAATTGATGAAGATTACCAACAAAATTATTCTGATGTTTAAGCATTGAAAAATGAGGATGATGATGACCATTGATGGTTTGATGAAAGGATGATGATTTTAACATTGATGTACCACCAACACTGCCGATAGTGATGCCGGAATTTTTATTACCAGTTTTTGAACTACCAGTCAATTTTGAATAACGATTCCGTGGATAAACAATATCTTTACGCATTTCAACTGGACGATTAACACCATAAAGTTTATAATAAAGGCCACAAGCATTACAGGCAACTTGTTTATTGGCTGTACGACGCCACATTGATGATGTTAATGTTCCACAATTTGAACATTGTTTTGGCTGTTGATTCTTCAATTTTGTTCCAACATTTTTTATAACATTTGTATTTCCGGTTGATTTTAATTTCGATATTGATGATGATGACCATGAACATGGTAACATGGATGAAGATTGATTTTCCATGAAAATTTAACAAAAAAAATAAAAAATATGGAAATCGATTAATTGTCGTTCGAACAATAATAATAATGAAGTATAAAAATTTAATAAATTCCGAAACAAGAATCGAACGATGATGATCAAAAACTAAAAAATTCGACAAGAATAAATTTTGATTATTCCAATCTAACGGCGCATTTAAACGGAATTTGAGAGAATCTATTGCACACACACATGCATTCCAATGACAATCACACACACACACACAATATATACAACAAATGAAGAATCGATCAAAGTTCTTGTTGCTTTTCGTTCATCATCATCATCATGATAGAGTGTTGGCAAATGATTTCAACTTTTCCATTGCCTCCCCCCATATAAAACAATTCAAACAAACAAAAAAATCGAACTGCCTATCTATCTATTAGACACAGAGAGAGAAAGAAAGAACTTGTATAGAGAAATGATCGAAGATACAGAGATCATTCAAGACGAACGAACGAACGAAAGAAATCAACCAACAAGCAAGATATATACAGAACATTCTTTCAAAAAGAAAAAAAAATTCGCTATTATCTGGCAAATAATATTATTATTGCTTTCCAACCAACAAACACTGATGGATAATATGTATGTATGTATGTTTGTGTTTATGGGTTTTTCGGGCTTTTGATGGAGCATTGAAAGATTTGTTGCCTTTTTTTTTGTTTTGTTTGGTTGCCTTTCTATTGAATGTTGACGAACTAAAACCTAAAACAAAAATGCTAAAATGACGGCACCATTTATCCAAACGATGATATCTTGGTTGCAACAAGAAAAAAACTACGAATTAGATGATGATGATGAAGAAATCAAAGAAATAAGCCTGGATTTTCATTTTGTTTACAATATACAGTTTTTTTCTTTTGCTTTCAATTTCAAATAATAACATCGATGCAACTTGTGCTATTTCACATTTTGTTTCTGTGTTTCTTATTATTTATATTAAAGCTCTAATCTCTTTGCTCAAAAATATTCATCTTTTTTTTTCTTTATATTCTGGTCTCTGTTTTTTTTTCTTGAATGATGATGATGATGAGTATGTGTTCTCATAAACTTTATCTATCTAATACCGCAAAACAAAACAAAAAAAATCAGGCTATTTTTAGGAACATAACGCGAGCGTTCATCAAAAAAAGTTGAAAAACTTTTTCCTATACACGCCATATTTTTGATGGTTTCCAATAATAATCATAATCATAATCATAATTTCTGTTCCCCCATCTCTCTTTCTCTCTCCAGCTAGAATCATTAGAATGTGTCAAAAACTTCAATTCTTTTAAGTTTTTTGAGAAATTAAAATTCATCCTTCCTTCCATTCAAATCAATAAAATGTTTATGATTACTTACACTTCTTTTACGAGGCTGTTGAATACTGGCCGGTGGTCTATCTTCACCATTATATTTTTTATATAATCCACAAGCATTACAAAGATAATGTCCATTTCCGTTTGTTCGCCATTGACTTGTACTTTGTGTTCCACAATTTACACATTCACGTTCAAATTTAATAGCATCAATTTCAGATGCAGCAGCAGCAGCAAAAAATGCATTCGCTGAATTTGGTGATAATGGTCGAGTTAAATCTCTTGCTACTTGTTGATATTCGTTTATATCGACATTTCCGGTTTTTGTTAATGATACATTTGATAGATATGATGGTATCGCCATCTGTTGTTGGACACGTTGATTAATAAATGATGATTGTGATGATAATTGTGGATCTATTTTTTCACGAACATATCGTTCGGTGGCAGCAGCAGCAGCCGTTTCAATAAATGTTTGATGATCACTATCGCCACTTTCACTTTCCAACATGGAATGATTTAATGATCCAGCAAGTAAGGCAGTGTTGAACATAGTGGTTAAATCAACACCTTGTGATTTATTCTGTGTATGATTCATTTGATTTGATTTATTGCCAGATGTAGGACTAGTTGTTGTTTCGGTTGTTGTTGTTGTACCACTTGTTGTAGAATCAGATTTTCCACCAAGCATTAATGCTAATGTTGTGGCCATCATACCATTAGGTTTACGATATTTAATTACAAATGGTTGTGTTTTAATGCCAGTTCCGGATGTTGTTGTTGTTGATGATGATGGTGGTGATGAATTAGTTGATGTGGTCGATGATATTTTGGTGTTAACAGTCGATGATGATGATGAAATTGTTGTTATTGGCTGGCTCGAATTCACGGTTATAGTTGATGATGATGATGATTGAGGATGAATAAGCGAATTTTGTGCTAATCTATTTATAAGTGATCTTTGTGTATGAGAATTATTGGCTACAATTGAAACACTTTGTTTGTTTTTATTATTATTTTCTAAATTAGGTACGATCGATATAACCGATGGTTTAGTTGTACCAGCAGTTGTTGTTGTTGTTGATGATGATGATGAAACAGGAACTAATGCAAATTTTTTATTATTCAAATTTGATGCAGAAATTCCTAACGGAGCATTTGATGCCGGTTGATCGATGATTTTAACAACGCAACTAGACGATGATGAAGATGTTGATGATATAGATGTGGATGATGATGGTATGAATATCGACGACTGTGATTGGATCAAAGTTGAACCTTCTTCATTCGTCGTCGTCGTCGTTGTTGTTGTTGTTGTTGTCGAAGATTTAACTATATCATTGATCGTATTGTTCGACGAACTAGTAAACGTTGAAACACCATCAAAAACTGACGACGAAGATAATCGTTGAGTCAGTGAGTTTTTATTTGATTGTGGTTGTATTGGTTGATGATGATGATGATGATTGCCACTAGTAGTTGTCGAAGAAGTAGAGGAGGATTGAGATATTGATAACAAGGATCGATTACAATGATGATTATTATTTTGATTATTATTACATTGAATGATGGCACTATTAGTGGACGATAACGAATTTATTGTCACTGTTGTTGGTACTGTTTTCAATACAGTCACAGATGGACTCGATTTAGATAATAAATTTTCATTTGAATTTTCATTTTTATTTTTAATAACAATCGATGATGGTGTTATTACCTGAATATTTGTTGATTTTGAACGAAATTGTTCAAATGGATTACGTTGATTATTAATTACTTTTTCTTGTTGTTGTTGTTCATATGTTGGATTATTTTGTTTTTTTTCACAATGTTGTTCACCGATAACAATTTCGGCAACACATTTTTGTTTGATTCTTGTTTCTTCAGCTAAACGATTTTCTTCTTCTTCAGTCAGAATACATTCTGGATTAATTAGATTTAATAGTTTATCTAATTCATCATCATTAACATTATCTAAATCATTATCATTATCATTTTGTTGATCAGCAACATCATCAAGAAATGAATAATTATTTGTATAATCTAATTCAGGATGTGTACCACAACCAATTGGAAAATTATCAATTAAATTATTATCATATGATGCTGAATATAATAATTGTATATCATTTTCACTTTGTTGTTGTTGCTGTTGTTGTCGATTATCCTTTATAATTTCTAAATTATCAAATTCTTTACCATCAATTATTGAATCGCTGTTGTTGTTTTGGTTACTTGTTGAATCACATTTCTATCATTTTTTTGAAAAAAGAAAAGAAAAAACAAATTGAAAAGATTATTATTAGACCGAAAAAAATCAAAAATCAATAATGTAAATACAAAAAACAGACAAAAAAAATATCACCATTATCCATACAATCAAAAGTCAAAAACACACACACACAAAAGACAATTTTATTATCTAACTAAATCTACAATTCAAAATAAAGGAACAAAAAAAAAAGATATTAACAACAACAACAAGACAAAACGAGATAAGCATTTACAGAAAAAAAAGCAAAAGTCATATATATTAGTTTATCTTTATCATCATTATTTTAGTTTAGTTCAGATTAATATCACACTAGTGATCTAATCGGATCATTTTTCACATATCATTTTTTGTTGTTGTTGAAAAAAATACATGCATATAAAGATATATTGAGACAGATAGATAAAGAGCAAAAAAGAATGGAAAAATTTTTTTATTCACTAAGTTATCTAACTGTTTTTTTGTTTTTTGTTTTGTTTTTTCGCATAAAAATGGATGATATTACAAATTCAATTCATTGATTTTTTTTTCGCTTATCGCAAGCCAAAAGACAACAGCAAAAATCTTATCTATATTGAGATGAAAATAGCAAAAAGAAAAAGAATTTTGTCTTTGTTTTTGCTTCCTAGCTTATCATCATCAATGAGATCAATACAAATACGGAATTATTGTTGTTTATTTTCTTGAACGAAAAGTAGTATATCATCATCAATGACATAAGCAATGAAAAAAATAAGCAAACTTTGATCATCATCAAAATCAATTTGAATTGAAAATGAAATACGAAAAAAGATTTGGTGGGTTGTTAAGTAGTGGGTGGCAATGCTGTTGTTGATTATTCCACCCGAACAATCTGTCCATCATCATCATCATATCAAATTCAATCTTGAATTTGCCATACAGACAACAACCAAAACAACAACAGCAGAAATATGAAAAAAAAATCAATTTCCGATTCGAATTGATAATCTTTGAAAAAATACATATAAATATGGCCATCCAAATCAAAACGTAAGATTGATAAAGTCATCATCACCACCACCACCACTCCCCAAAAATGTATCGATCAATCGATCGATTGATATCATCATCAGCATCGATTGATCGATCGATCGAGTATATCTTATATATATGCGATTATAATCACACAAAGTCCGATAACCACCAATAAATAATATATACCGACAAGAAAGCAGAAAGCAGAAAAAAAATACATTTCATTAATTATCAAATTGGATGATCACATACATACACACACTTGAAGATACGAATATTTCATCTATTCATTTTTCTTCTTAACATTTCATCAAAAATCATCAGTATTGATGATTTGTCGTCCATTTAAAAAAAAGCAGAAGGCCAAAGTTCTGGTCTTGTTGTTACCAAGCTTATTTCGTTTTCTACTACTATTACTCTCTGCGCTATAGTCGATTTGATTATCTATCGCATTTCAATTCATTCATTGATTGATTTTTCAATAAATTCAAACTGTTTTTTTTGTTTAAAAAAGAACTCAACAAATCAAGATTTAGAAGTTGATTTTATGATGCCTGGCTAAAATGAAAAGTTGTTGAGAAAAAAAAATCATATCTATAAAGATCTGAGTGTTGAAAATTTTGATTTGGACTATCGCATAACAACAACAGCAGCAGCAACAAACAAACAACAATCAAGTGAATTTGGATGAAGACAGGTCATTGGTAATGTGTGTGTAAGTAAAAGAAAACGGAGACCTAACCGATAAGATTATCATTTTGTTTTTTACTGTTGTTGTCATTGCCGATGATGATGATGATGCACAAGTATTGAATATGAATCGGGTAAAATAACAGAGATTGATCAATCTTTGATTTGAAAAAAAATCAAGCAAAAGATTGGCCTTTGAATTACATCATTTCATTATAATAGTGAAAAAAATTTGATATTTATAGAAACAACAACAACAACAAAATCGAAAATTATGATAACGTTTTTTCGTTTGTTTTATCTCATCACTATATTTGCGATTTTGTACGATATACGAACCTAGAAAATCTTTCGAAATTTCTTTATCAAACACATAAACTATGTGATTGGCAAAAACGTTAAACACATTTGGTGAAAAAAAGAAAAAGAAAAATTCACTACGAAAAAAAAATTAAAGAACCAAAAAGAAGAATTGACGAAAAAAGAAGAAAATACGAATTTTGTTTTGACGTATAAACGTTTATAATGATCATCAAAGTAAAAGTAAAAATAATAAAAAAATAAAAAACAAAAAACTTGAATTAAAAACTAATTTTTTTTTTGAAATGATAGATCATTATCTATGTATTATATCTATAAATAATATTGTTAAATACAATCAGAGAGAGAGAGAGAGAGAGAGAGAGAGAGAGAGAGAGAGAGAAAAGAATATTAAAAAAAAAAATCTACAATGGATAAATATAGAATAAAAGCATCTTTATAAATATGGAATATTCTTCATCTTCTTTCGTCTTTCTATTATCATCATTCATCTCTTACACACACACACAGATATTTGTNTATAATGATCATCAAAGTAAAAGTAAAAATAATAAAAAAATAAAAAACAAAAAACTTGAATTAAAAACTAATTTTTTTTTGAAATGATAGATCATTATCTATGTATTATATCTATAAATAATATTGTTAAATACAATCAGAGAGAGAGAGAGAGAGAGAGAGAGAGAGAGAGAGAGAAAAGAATATTAAAAAAAAAATCTACAATGGATAAATATAGAATAAAAGCATCTTTATAAATATGGAATATTCTTTTTTCGTCTTTCATCTTTTTTTCCATTATCATCATTCATCTCTTACACACACAGATATTTGTCCTTTGTAAATATATTCTTACAACCAAAAAAAAACATCATCAACGATAATCAGTTAAAAGAGAATGAATGGAATAGGAATTGAACTAGAAACAAAACAAACAAAATTCCATCATCATAGAATATATCATCATGTTGTTAATTTTTTTTTCGACATATTTAATAATGAAAAAATGTATTTTTTCATTTTATTCTCTTTACTGATGAAAAGACGACTTTTTTTAAAATAAAAAAACCCAAAGATATAAACTACGTACACATAAAATAGATTATTATATGCATATATAAATACGGGACTTGGCAACAAGATTAGATAGATTTTTTGTTTTTCGCTTGGTTTTTCTCTCTCTCTCTCTCTCTCTCTCTCTCTCTCCTAATTTTTGTTCTTCTTGGTTTCAATGATCATTTTTCTTTTTTCGATTATTATCAGTCCACATCACAAACATACACACACACACACANAAAAAAACCCAAAGATATAAACTACGTACACATAAAATAGATTATTATATGCATATATAAATACGGGACTTGGCAACAAGATTAGATAGATTTTTTGTTTTTCGCTTGGTTTTTTTTCTCTCTCTCCTAATTTTTGTTCTTCTTGGTTTCAATGATCATTTTTCTTTTTTCGATTATTATCAGTCCACATCACAAACATACACACACACACACATGGAGAAAGCAACAACAGTAAAAAAGATTTAGAGGAACAACAAAAAAAAAATGCCTAAACTTTTTGGCAGTTATCAGAAACCACCAAACCAAAACCAAATCAACAAAATACAGTGAAGGAGAAAAAAACCAGAAAACCAGAACATTAACCAGAAAAAAAAGATAACAGGCTAAAGATCAAAATAATAATAAAAAACAACAACAACAAAGATGGATTCAATTAATGAGAAATTTCCTGTTTTTTGGTTTTTCATCTTTTTTGGTTTGACAATTGAAGAGTGTGTGTGTGTTTGTGTGTACAAGTGATATTCAGCATGGTCCATTTGATTTACTTAATCTTTCGAATGTTTTTTTCTCCTATTGCTACTTTTCGATAGCTTTCAAGAAAAAAAAACTGATAAATTTTCATTTTTATTGGTTGCCTGATTATATTGATCAGCTATCCAAAAATGTACATCATCATCATCATAATCAACAAGAATTATCTTTTTTTTTTGGTTTTCCATAATATAAATTAAGCTTAAGAACAGCCGAAAGATATATCAGAAAAATGAAAATGAAGAAAAAGACATTATGGACAAGACGTGATAATTTGTCAGATCATTTAATCAAAAGAAGAAAGAAGAAAGAAAAATTCAAACGACACTGGTTGATATTAATAGAAATTTTTTTTCAAAAAAAAAATGATTTAAATCTTGGATTTCGGTTTTTTTCAATGCACACTGGAAACCAGAAAAAAAATGAAAAGATAAAACCAAATCATCAAATCAGTGAAGAAGCAAGAAAAAGGCCAAAATGATTTTATTTAGGTGATAAACATACACAAATCGATAATGATTAAGAGATGTGATTGAACTGATATATTCACAATATATATTTGATTGAAAAATGTAAATGAAAAACTAAAAATTATCGATTCAAAATATCAAATTTTTTTTTTTGGTTGCTGGTCGTTCGATAAGAAATCAATGTACAATATCAAGATGGAATTATGGAAAATGAAAATTGTGATTGACAAATTTTATTTTCATTTTTCAAAAATAAACAAAGATCGATAGCCTTATTGAGCAACAGGGAAAAAAACAAAATAACGTAGCAAAAAACAAAAATGAAAAGTCAATGAATTTTTGGTGTGAAAACAAACAAACAAAAAACAAAACGAAATCCCTGGATACAAAAAAGTAGCGAATAATTTTCATTTTCAGATTTGGCTACATGATGCGCTAACAAGATTTTTTCTTTTCTTTTTTTCAAACTGTCAGCATACCCATACCGGGTGTTTGCATGCGTGTGATGTATCCATGTGAGAATGAATGAATGAATAACGAAAGAAAGAAAACAACAAACAAACCAACTTCTTGAGATTCTACCTTATGTTTTCGCCCTGACAGAATCTGTTTGGT